ATGACAGGAAAGGCTCCTGACTGGTGAGATCCTCCAAACATAATGATGACATCCATGAACTGGAGCGAGCTCGTTGGGGTGATAAAGCCAATCTGGAAACACTGTGTAGACGTTCTCCAAGAACTCAGCACACTCCAGGTGTGGAGAAAGTCTCCAGGTGGGTTTTAGCCTGTCATTTATCATAGGTAGAAATGTCCACACATGGACTTCCACAGGGATCCCCGAGACTACATATAGAACTTGGAGGTACCTGTAACATGGAACAGGAGTTGGTGTTGCTGGAAGACTGGTCAGAGCAGTGGAAATTGCAATTCAATGTTTCTGAATCGTGGGCTGGGGATGGGTAGCGGGTACAAAGCTCCCTGGGATGGGCACACTTTCAGGGACAGATACCAGTCCAGTGATGTAGTGTCACACAGTGCAGTGTTTATTGGTGCTGATTACAGGTGCTGTACAATGTTCCACAAAGTAACAGCAAAAACCTCAAAACCAAAATCCTAGCCGTGTCCCGGCACTAACTACACAAACATGATTCCTGACTATCAGGGTGAGCAAGCCTAGTGCTTGTCAGTCTCCAGAGATGCAGTTTTACAGCTTCCACCAACCTTCCATCTAGGGCCTTGGAAATCTGTTCGGGGGTGGGAGCGCTGCCAAACAGAGCCAAACTCCACTCCACCTCTTGTAAATCTGAATGGTATAGGGGTCTCCGTACAGTGCTAAGTTGGCCTGGCATTTCAGGGGCCGATCAGCTGCTCTGTTCCTCCAACTCCTCTCATGAAGCGGAGTTCGCTTTTGGCAGAGCGGTGTTTGCTTCAAGCGTAGCGGAGTACACATCAGGTGAAGTGGGGTGTGCATCTGCTTTGTCCAGGGCCATAATCTCAGCCAATAGTTCCTCTCTGGTCTTGGAGCCAGAAATACCTCCCCGAGCAACAAGCAGGCTTTGGAGAGCTTGCTTCCAGAGGTCCCGTACATCCATCTGGACAAGCACGGATGTCTCAGTGAAAAGGATGGGGTCCCGGTTGGTGGTTTGGACTTTCTCTGCAATGAGGAAAGATCCCACTGCTGCCAACTAATTGTGGCGGAACCGTTCTGCCTGGGCTTCCTCTTGTGGAGCGATGCGGCGCCCGTGGCGTAGTCTCGGCCAATGGTCCCCTTTCCCGTCAAGTCTTCCATCACTCTGCCAAGGCAGGTATTAAAGCTCAAAGACGATCCTTCCCCGATATCCCAAACCATGAGTCGGAACTTCGTGTAGGGCGAATGAATGAATGAATGCTTTATTGAATACAATTCAACTTATACAGTACATGCTGGCAGAGCCCTGCCCCCTCCACACCCACCAGACAGTCTGGCTCCTGGTTCCCCACCCACACCCAAAACTCTACAGTACAATACAGCAGTAATCAGCACAGTATGAAATTTGGATAAGTGAAAGGCTACAAGTCCCCATTACACAAGCAAACTGCAGAATGCCTGTCTACATAACAGCTGCTAAATATATACAGTTTAAAAAAAAATGTAGAATGAGAAGGCCACTTAACAAGGGGATAAACCAGGAATGGAAAGGGAAAATGTTATCACAAAGGGACGGTTCTTCACAATGGGGTTTTCTCATCTGGTGACCGGGTCCTGGTGTTGGTTCCCACTGTCGAAAGCAAGTTCCTGGCTAAGTAAAAGGGTCCTTTGAAGTGGTTAAAAGAGTTGGGGAGGTGAATTACAAAGTATATGAATCGGATAAAAGAAATCCTGAGCAGATATACCATGTACACCTGTTATGCCCCTGGAAGGATAGGGTGGCACTGACTGTGGGGTCTGCCCCTGGAACTCCTGGGAGTACTGAGTCCCCTCTAGTCCCTGAAGTCACAATTCCAGACAGACTGTCTCATTCCCAAAAGCAGGGAGCTAGAGAGTTCCTGATAAGGAGCAGAGACACATTTTCAGAGTTACCTGGTATGACTTCAGTGTTTTAGGATGATATTATTACTGAACCTGGGGACCGTGACAAACTCAAACCATACCGATTCCTGAAGCTAGGAGAAAGTACATCAGTGACAAAGTCAAGAGGATGCTGGAGCTAGACATCATTGAGGGGTCTAATAGTGACTGGTCTAGTCCTATCATTTTAGTCCCAAAACAAGATGGTACTTTGAGGTTTTGTAATGACTTCAGAAAGCTTAATTCAGTGACAAAATTTAACACGTACCCTATCCTCAGGGTAGATGAACTCAGGGACAGGCTTGGGAAGGCCCGTTTCCTGACCACTATGGACTTGACGAAAGTGAAAGGTTGTCGATAGCCCCTGGCTATCTGTCTTTATCAGGCTGTTGAAGGTACTGACGCGTCGGGAAGATTGACTTCATCTCAGAAACAACAGACATACACACAGTGATAGGTGAAATCAATCTCTCAAGTTTATTAGCGGGAAGAAAATTAATATAACAGAAAAAAGAAAGGTGGGGGGCACAGAGTATCAAAAAGCTGAGTTGTCAGTAATTGATTGGCTGAAAACAAAAAGACAAACGTTGATGTCAATTCTGAAAAGTGATGAGAAGTGGAGTTTCACTTTCCCAGGAATAAGGAAAGTTTCTGCATTGTTTTAAAACACTTATCTACTACATACAATAGAATCTCGCTAGATACTTGTCAAGGCTATGAGCATGACTTTCTCAGACTTTGAAATCAGTTACAAGTATCCAACAATTATTTTCCCATGGGACAGAAGTATTTGACTTTTAATTATATCATAACAGAAACAGGTGCTGTTAGTACAAAGAAAATAGTTGGATACTATCTCCTCTACCAAGGCTAAGCTAAGATAAGAAATAGAAGAATATTGTGAGTACATTTCTGTAACACATAACAGACAGCATATTTACATTAACTCATTCTGGGTATAATACAAAACAATTAATCAACATGGTAGTACAAAATATAAAATGGGAGTGGAGGGGAAAACAAAATGAAAGAGCTAAAAGACATACATTTCCCTTCAGAAAGCATACTGGAAAATCCTCCTGACTGAAAGTGCCAGTGAAAAGATTGCATTTGTTGACCCCCTGAGGGTTCATATAATATAAAGAAATGCCTTTTGGTTTACAAAATGCCACTGAAACACTTCAGAGGGCTATGGACAGGACCCTAGGACCTCATCAACAGTATGGAGCAGTCTATCTGGATGACATAGTGATACATAGCACTGAATGGGACTCTCACTTGCCCCTTGTCCAGGCAGTCTTGGATTCTCTCTTCAAGGAAGGTTTTATGGCAAATGCCGTATATTTGGGCTACACTATTGGACAAGACGTCATAAAACAAAATAAAAGCCATCCAAGAATGGCATGTCCTGCAAACAAAAAGCAGGTCAGAACCTTCCTTGGTATTGTGGGGTACTATAGAAGGTCTATCCAAAATTGTGCAACTTTAACAGCTCTACTGGCTGACCTTACAAAAGGGAAAGACTTGGTAATGGTAAGTGATCACATGATCAGGACCTCACACAGAGGTCCCGTACGACGATTGGTGTTCCACTGTGTCCGGAGGATACAGCGGGCACTGGATTGTGGTGCTGTGTGCTCCCAGGGAGTGAGCATGATCAGGGGGTGGGGAGGATGTTTATAAATGGCCACCCACCCCTGCACTGCCACTGTCCAGCCGTTTATATACAACGGCTGGACAGGAGGTGGTTAAAGGTACCGGAGCGCATTGGACAAGCAGCATGTAAGCACAATGGCAGCTAAGGTGTCCAGTGTGTCTCTATCCCAACAATTCAACAGAATAAAAAATGGTCACTGCCCCAGTACCCTGATAGTCAGGAATCGTGTTTGTGTAGTGTAGTTAGTGCCGGGACATGGCTAGGATTTTGGTTTTGAGGTTTTTGCCATTACTTTGTGGAACATTGCACAGCACCTGTAATCAGCACCAATAAACACTACACTGTGTGACACCACATCACTGGATGGTATCTGTCCCTGAAAGTGTGCCCATCCCAGGGAGCTTTGTACCCGCTACCCATCCCCAACCCATGATTCAGAAACATTGAACTGCAATTTCCACTGCTCTGACCAGTCTTCCAGCAACACCAAACCCCTGTTCCATGTTACAGGTACCTCCAAGTTCTATATGTAGTCTCATGGGTCCCTGTGGAAGTCCATGTGTGGACATGTCTACCTATGATAAATGACAGGCTAAACCCACCTGGAGACTTTCTCCACACCTGGAGTGTGCTGAGTTCTTGGAGAACGTCTACACAGTGTTTCCAGATTGGCTTTATCACCCCAACGAGCTCGCTCCAGTTCATGGATGTCATCATTATGTTTGGAGGATCTCACCAGTCAGGAGCCTTTCCTGTCATCCTACATGTTCCCCTTCTGAGGATTGTTCTATCCTTCCAAACAAATGTATGAAATCATGGATGAGTCCTCCTTCTATGTGATCTAGAAGATCTTCAATCACAATGTCTTTATGGATGAAGTGGATGGCCCAGTTTATATATTATTTATTGCTTTACAGCTTTATTCCCTCCAGGATTCATTCTTTATTTATAGAACCATTCAAGGAAGTGTTCTTACTATGAGAGATCTCCACCACCATTCCTCTGTGACCATTACATCCTTGTCATTTATGTCTAACATCTTCATTATCAGTGGATTGAGATATATCTTTATACTGTAGGATTATTTTTGTATTTTTTTACCCCAAATTATCTGTTTTGGAGGTCTCTGTTTTATTATGTATACCTTTTGTTTTTATCTTGTGTTCTGTGTCTTTAAGACTTTTCTATTTGTAGTAAAATATCTTTTTTAAACAGTTGGTTGCATAAGAGTTAGGTTTATTGTTTCATACTCTTTTTAGTTCTTTTTGGCACTTTCCTGGTATCTCTGTAAGGTAGATACATTGCAGGAATGGTTATTAGGGGACATTTCTCAGGGCTGCAGTTCCTTTGAACTCCACAAGATGGTGATCTCATATCTACTACCCAGACAAGACTTCTCTATGGAATATGAACAGGAAGTGATGTCAGGTACAGACAGGAAGTAGAGAGGAGACGTTGGTGGACATGGCAGCAGAGGAGGTAATAAGATGTTATGTCCTATTTACACCCAGTAACCCTCCGTCATGTCCGTCCTCTTCCTCCATAGTCACGTCCGTCCTCTTCCCCCATAGTCATGTCCGTCCTCTTCCTCCATAGTCACGTCCGTCCTCTTCCTCCATAGTCACGTCCGTCCTCTTTCCTCCATAGTCACGTCCATCCTCTTCCTCCATAGTCACGTCCATCCTCTTCCTCCATAGTCACGTCCGTACTCTTCCTCCATAGTCATGTCCGTCCTCTTCCTCCATAGTCACGTCCTTCCTTCTCCTCCATAGTCATGTCCGTCCTCTTCCTCCATAGTCACGTCCGTCCTCTTCCTCCATGGTCATGTCCGTCCTCTTCCTCCATAGTCACGTCCGACCTCTTCCTCCATAGTCACGTCCGACCTCTTCCTCCATAGTCACGTCCGTCCTCTTCCTCCATAGTCATTTCCGTCCTCTTCCTCCATAGTCACATCCGTCCTCTTCTTCCATAGTCATGTCCGTCCTCTTCCTCCATAGTCACGTCTGTCCTCTTCCTCCATAGTCACATCCATCCTCTTCCTCCATAGTCATGTCCGTCCTCTTCCTCCATAGTCACTGTGATGTCTTTTATCTCCAGCAGATGATGATACACACATATATAGTGTGGGAACCCAGATGAACCCCTTCAGGGGCAGAACATTCCCCCACTTCCGGGGCCGGAACATTCTCCTCATTGTGGAGATAAATTCTAGTAATATGGTCCTCTAAACAAACAGCACTGACAATAAATAGACAAGACAAGGACCATCCTGACCATACATGGCCTACAAAGGGCAATGATGACACTACACAGGCAGCCAATGGGCAATCATTACACTATGCAGCCAACACAATGATGGAGTGCCGGGGTCAGGAGTATGGAGCATAGAGCCCCTTACATTGCTGCTCAGGAGGAAGGAAAACATTCCCCAGCCGGCCATGAAGAATATGTTCCATCATTGGTGTCAGAGGGAGGGAAATACTGAGGGGTCTGAGGGAAGTAGAGGAGCTGAGGGGTCTCTCAGGGGTTACTGAGGATGAGAGACTTTCTGTCCCCTAAGGGGTAGTGGAGTTCAAGAGCTTTGAGGGGGTAGAGTAGCTGAAGGAAATCTGGTTGGATAGGGTTGGCGGGGAGCAGGGCTCTGAGGGAAGAGAGAGGTTGTAGAGCTCATGGGGACTCTGAGGTAGGGAGGGGGGCTCTTAGTCTCTGATTACTCTCCCACCTGCATTTACTTTGCAGACCTCCTTACAGAACTCCAGCCAGGAAAAGAAGGCAACCTTCACCTTCTTACCATTTCATCGGTCAAATATAATTTTCCAGTATACCAAGTGGAATGAAGGAGGTCGGTCCTTCACCCCTTGGTGGTGGTCACTTGTTCTTAGAGGAGGTCTGTTGGTGCATTATTGACTAAAAGGTAGTTGAGGGTCAGTGCTGAACATCTGCGGGAGACACTCCAATACCTCCCATGACACAGGCTCTGGCAGTGCCGGTGCTGGAATTCAGAGCCCCAGGAACCCACCACCACTCTGTACAATGTCCTGGATATTACAGTATACTTAGCAATGAAGAGAACTAACCACTCCCTTATGTTGTTCTCCTCCTACCCACGATGGGCTGCCATTGGTTGGAAGAGAGCAGACCTCCTCTCTCTACTACACCACCAGTAGCATCCTCCTGCTATCCAATCCAATCCCTTCTCTTATTGCAGAGAGTGACAGTGACATCACTCCTGTCAGTCAGCAGGCTGCCAGAGATTGAAGTCTTGCAGTCAGAGTTCTGGCTATTAAAGTCAGCAACTCCAGGCGAAAGTCATCAAGTTCCCCTTCCTGGACATCATGATGAGCCGACATTGACCTCACAGCACTGCCTCAGAGCAAACAAGTCATAGGAAGGATCAGATTTATCATTCCTTGTCTGCAGATCTAAAACTCATAAAAACCAGTTCAGAGACCAAAGAAACCCAACAGAGAAAAGGGGATTTCCTGATCTGGCAGGACAAGATTGTCCCGGGACCTCCAAAATTTGTAAAAAATACTAAACAGTTCAGATAAATGTCTTCCCATGGGGGGAGTAGTTCTTCAATGTCCAGCAACCCTCCTATTCCCCCCTCACATCCACATCCTATTATTGTGTGACCAATACCATCCAAATCATTCTTACTTTCATTTCCCAAAGTTATCCGTCTACAAGGAGACCTGTATAGATCACATGATGGCACCAATGAGGATGGAGGAGGACCGGAGTCACATAACTGAGAAGATACTAAACCTCACCCTGGAGATCATCTACCCTGACTTGATCTCTATTAATAAAACCGACCTGACCGGAGAGGTGAGGAGGATTCTGGGAGGTCACATGACATCACTCTCATCTCTATTAATAAAACACAGACCTGACCGGAGAGGTGAGGAGGATTCTGGGAGGTCACATGAAATCACTCTCATCTCTATTAATAAAACACAGACCTGACCGGAGAGGTGAGGAGGATTCTGGGAGGTCACATGACATCACTCTCATCTCTATTAATAAAACACAGACCTGACCGGAGAGGTGAGGAGGATTCTGGGATTCTATCATGATATTCTATTGGTTCCTCAATACAGAGATTTCCTCTTCTGAAGTCAGGTGATCATATGACCATCACAGTGCCTCCATGTGACTCCCTAAACCCTGAGAGACACAACATGCAGAAGATTCTAGAAGTCACCAAGAAGATGATGAAGCTGCTGACAGGAGAGGTGAGCAATGCTGGGGAATTCTGGGACATTCTCCAGTAACAGACAAGGGATGTGTCTGGATGGTGACTGTATCATTGTGTGTGTCAGGTTCCTATAAGGTGTCAGGGTGTCACTGTCTATTTCTCCATGGAGGAGTGGGAGTATTTAGAAGGACACAAGGATCTCTACAAGGACGTCATGATGGACAATCAGCCGCCCCTCACATCACCGGGTAAGAGGAGACTTTATTGTAAAGGAGAGAGCAGTACGGAGGATCCACCTAGATCCCCCATCATCTGATAAAACACATAGAAACAATGGATTCAGTCAGTGTGTGTGTGTTTCCTACAGATGGATCCAGTCATGGGAACCCACCAGAGAGATGTCCCCGTCCTCTGTATTCCCAGGATTCCACACAGGAAGGTCACACCATCCCTCACCATCATCAGGTAGATGATGACAATTATTGGTAGTTGTGATTTATACACAGCATGTTTGTTACAATGAATGTTTTATTATATCTTTCAGAGTGGAATCCTCGGGGATGATAATATTGATGTTAAAGAAGAGTATAAAGAGGAGGAGGATGAGGAGTATGGAGTGATGGAGGAGTTTTCAGAAGGACACAAGGATGTGATGGAGCCACCTAATACCAGGAACCCACCAGAGAGATGTCCCCGTCCTCTGTATTCCCGGGATTCCACACAGGAAGGTCACACCATCCCTCACTATTACAAGGTTGGTGGGATGGAGAATCTAGAACATGGACTTGTAGAGATGATGTGTGGATATTTTTATGTGAGTTTTTTTTTAAGAGATAATTTATTTCCTTGATTTAGAGTGGAGATCCAATCGATATAGAATTTGAGGTGAAAGCAGAAGAAGAAGAGGCGTATGTGAGGGATGATCAGCAGTCTATGGAGGAGGATGGAATAACGGGGACATTTATAGAGGAGGACACTCCTACAGAGATCAGCACAGGTGGGTCATGAACACTAAATCCATTCCTCCACCCATACTGCTCACTGATTGGTCCAGAGTAGGGCGGGGACTGGGTGATATCAGCCTGTAATCCCCTGGTCACTTTCCTGAGCTGTGTTCCCCGTCCTGTATTCCTGGATTTCTCTCGGATAATCTTCCTTCTCTGTGCTGCAGACACAATTTATGTCTCTAGACTGGATTTATGGAGGTTCTGGGGTTCAGCTGGCAGCAAAATGTTGATTTTTACTCTAAGCATTGCATAATGTAGGCACCCAGGACATGTGACTGGGGTCTCCTGCCTTGTGCCTGACTCTTCCAGGGGACCTTCTCTGTTGTCTGCTGGCTGTGCCGGGTGGAGGGATATGTCTGTAGTGTCTCAGACCCAAGTCACTGAGTGCAGTCTCAGGAGATGGGAGGCAGCGGTGTGGGATCTCTGCAACTTGTCTACAGTAAACATTTAACCACTTTCCCTCCAGAGGATTTACCCCCCTTAACTAGCTGCCGACCGCAGATAGCCGAATGATGGCTGCACTGCGGCCGGCCAGTTCTGAGTGGACGTCATATGACGTCCTCCCAGAACGCGCTCTCCTGCGCGCCCCAGGGGGCGCGCACCCGGCGATCTCCGTGATCGCTGTGTCCTACGGACACAGCTGATCACGTGATGTGCTAAAAGGCCAATCACAGCGGCCTTTTCCACGTGATCAGCGGTGTCCAATGACACGCTGATCAGAGGGAAATGCAAGTGCCGGTTCTCGGCTGCACTTTCCTCACACTGTCAGATCGTGAGGAAAGTACTGCCGAGAACCGGCAGTTGTCAGAGCGGGGATCGGCACCGATCATCAGGGCACTGATGATCAGTGCCCTGATAATCGGTGCCCAGCAGTGACCCCCGCAAGTTCTGCCCACCTGTGCCCAGCAGTGCGCCCACTAGCTCCTCCCACCTGTGCCCAGCAGATCACCCACCTGTGCCCAGCAGTGCACCCACCTGTGCCACTCTGCAGTGCCACCTACCTGTGCCCAGCAGTGCCACCCACCTGTGCCCAGCAGTGCCACCCACCTGTGCCCACCAGTGCCCACCCACCTGTGCCCACCCCCACAGTGCTGCCCACCAGTGCTGCCAGTCAGTGCCACCAGTCAGTGCCCAGGGGTTGTGCCAGTCAGTGCCGCCAGTCAGTGCCCAGCAGTGATGCCAGTCAGTGCCGTCTATCAGTACCCATCATCAGTGTCACCTATCAGTGCCGCCTATCAGTGCTGCATATTAGTGCCGCCTATCCGTGACACCTCATTAGTGCTGTCTATCAGTGCCGCCTATCCGTGCCACCTCATTAGTACTGCCTATCAGTGCCCTTTAGTGCTGCCTATCAGTGCCCATTAGTGCCGCCTATCAGTGCCCATCAGTGCTGCCTCATCAACGCAAATCAGTGAAGGAGAAAAAATACATGTTTGAAAAATTTTATAATAGAAACAAAGAAACTTTTTTTTTATTTTTCAAATTTTTTTTGCAATTTTTTTATTTATAGCGCAAAAAGTAAAGCGCCCAGTGGCGATTAAATACCACCAAAAGAAAGCTCTATTTGTGAGAAAAAAATGATCAAATTTTCATATGGGTACAATGTTGCATGACCGCGCAGTTGTCAATCAAAGTGCGGCAGCGCTGAAAGCTGAAAATTGGCCTGGTAAATAAGTAGGGATAAGTGCCTGGTAGGCAAGTGGTTAATGACCACGCCTCTTTTTGCTACTCCGCGCTGCACTAATTCAACGGATAATTGCGCGGTCATGCAATGCTGCACCCAAACAAAATGTACGTCCTTTTTTTCACACAAATAGAGCTTTCTTTTGGTGGTATTTTATCACCTGTGCGCTTTTTATTTTTCCCGCTGTATACAAAACAGACTGAACATTTTGAAGAAAATTAATATTTTTTTTACTTTCGGCTATAAAAAATATATATATAGTAAACTCAAAGTTAGTTATAAATTTAGACCACAATGTATTCTGCTCCATGTTTTTTGGTAAAAAAAATCCCAATAAGTGTATATTGATTGCTTTGTGTGACAGTTATAGCGTCTACAAACTATGCAATTTACGCCATTTTTTTGCTATACAGCGCTGCACTAGTTTAACTGACAATTGCGCAGTCATGCAATAAAGTGGTCATTTGGGGGGGGGTTTTTGCTATCCTGGCATTTCAGGTCCTCCGAATCTGTGATAGGTAGTCAGGAAGTGTAAGGTGGTCTTTGGATTTTGGGGTCCTGTACTTGGCTGAACTGCCAAAATGTCTCTCACATGTGGTACCCCCATACTCAGGAGAAGTAGCAGAATGTATTTTGGGGAGTAATTCCACATATATCCATGGCATGTGTGAGCAATAAATCATTTAAGTGACAATTTTGTGTAAACTTTTTTTTTGTCATTTTCCAAAAACTTGTGGTAAAAAAATTAATTCTTCTATTGATTCAACATTCCTCTCAGCAAATAGTTTGGGGTGTCTACTTTCCAAAAAGGGGTCATTTTGGGGGGTGGGGGCATTCTATGCCCAGCATTAGAAGTTTATACCACACATCACTCACTCTTCTAACCACCTGAAGACCAAGCCTTCTCTGACACTTTTTGTTCACATGAAAAAAAATCTATATTTTTTGCTAGGAAATTAATTTAAACCCCAAACATTATATATTTTTTAAAGGACACCCTAGTGAATAAAATGGTGGGTGCTGCAATTTTTTTCTGTCACATAGTACTTGCGCAGCAATGTTTCAAACGCAATTTTTTTTTTAAAAAATACACTTTTTTTACTTTTAATGCACAAAAACACAATATATTGGAAAATTATTTTGTAAAATATAAAAGATGATGGTGTGCCGAGAAAATACCAAACCTGACATGCTTTAAAACTGTGCATGCCCCGTGCAATGGCGACAAACTGCATATGTTTTTAATATCTATAGGTAACGTTTTAAAGCCTTTACAAGCTACCATTGTAGATTTACAGAGGAGGTCTAGTGTTAGAATTACTGCCCTTCATCTGACGATTGTGGCGATACCTCACATGCATGGTGCAAACCGCTGTTTACATACCGGCACAGGATCAACGCTCACAAACTCAGGTGTGCACGCGGGGGTGAGGGTACTTTTTTTTTTTCTTTTCTTTTTTTAAGTTATTTAGATTTTTTAAATTATTTTTTTACACCGTTTTTTTTTTTTTTTTTTATCACTTTTAATGCTATAACAGGGAATGCAAATATCCCCGATAACCTCAATGGTCATTGTCATTAGATTCTTTTTTGAGAAATCTGGGGTCTATCAGACTCTGGATATCTCCTCTGCCCTTACATTATCTAATCAAACCAACATCGGTGATCAGATGCTTTCCCAATTTACAAATGGCGCTGTTTATATCCTACTAAACTGAAGTGATGAAATACTCGTAGATTCCGATTTCTTAGACTATAGAGATGATTGGCACCATTCTGGTCTCTGGGCTCTATTGTCAGCTGGCAGAAACACCGGCTGCATTCTCAGGTTCCCCGGATGGCACGGGACTGCCCAAGAAAGCCTTGGAAGGCAGTGGGGGGGGGGGGGGGGCATCATATCCTGCTGCTTGTAAAAGCAATCCTGCAGCTAATTATCTACTAGGATTGCTTTTACATAAAAGCCGATCACCAGCTGAAAAAAAAATGATACCAGGATGATGCCTGCAGATGTAGGCATCATCCTGGTATAACCATTCAAAGTCCAGTGATGTACCAGTACGTTGCTGGTCCTTGTTGGGTATATATGATATGTTCTTTTTTTTTGTATGCAGCCTGTGGACTGAATGAAAAAAGAGAAGGAATCTCTGCCCCCCCATAAAAGTGTGGTATGCCCACCATTAAATTATACCGCCCTGCATCCACCCACTTCTAATGGTGGGCACACATTAGGTCGCACGGTGCCACATGCCCCAGTTCCAAGATTGTACAAATGTCTAAATAGTGGCACGCTTGAATAAAAAATTGTCCACGTATAAGTGGTACCCCATATGGAAAAAGGATGACACCAAGTCCCAAACTATCTTGCCACTGCTCCCCATGTAGTCTGGGCATCCAGGGGGCTCCACGTGACTATATTTTCCCTCGTAAATCCAAAACTTATAAGTATAGCCTGTTGTCCTCTCACAGGTCTTCTACATCGTGACCCATATCTGGCACGCTTGCTGGGGAGAAATTGTTTGTATGCAAGGCGGCCAGAAAAATGAATGAGGGATTCATCAACGCAGATGTTTTGCTGGGGAGTATAGACATCTGCAATTTTTTTGGTTAAGTTGATTTACGAGGGGCTGAATTTTGTGGAGCCGGTCAAATTCAGGGTCACCACAAGGACGACAGAGTGTATTGTCATTGAAATGCATAAAACACATTATACTCTCATATCTATGCCTGGCCATGGCAGCAGAGAACACGGCATATGATGAATCAGGCCTGCGGACCAATACAACTGCAATTCATTTCTTTTAGTAATGCCCATGTTGAGGGTTAGGCCCCCAAAAAATATAAAGTCAAAAACCGTAATGGGTTTCCATGCGAATAGTCTGGCAAGGTTTGAATTTGGGTTGGCGGCGATAAATTGTTGTGCATATAAAAATTGCTTTGATCCACAATCAATGCACACAGATATTCCGTGAAAAACAGCTCCAAAAAATCAAGGGGAGGAGTTAAATTTGCTATTTTCCACCTGAATTCTGGGTTGGGCAGTTCTATGGGCCTGTGTGCAAATTCTTGGTGGTTGCGTGACAATACTTGTGCTCGCCACCTCACCAGCTTGTACTGCAATTATGGGACTCCCACGTCACCAAGTCATACTGCAGTGCTGGTATTATTATTATTATACAATATTTATGGCGCCAACAGTTTGCTCAGCACTTTACAATATAACAGGAGACAATACAGCTACAATACAGATCAATACAAGAGGGATAGGAGGGCCTGATCCTGGGAACTTACAATCTAAGAGAAATGTGAAAGGATGTACTAGGCCACTGGTGCTCGCCAGTTCACCAAAAGGTAGCGTGGCACTAGTACTGGCACTCTGCTGCACATGAGAGTCATCAAAATTTACCAGCAAGTGCTAGCAGAGATCAGGCCTGATTCTGCCAACACTACAGTTTTGTGTGCAATGTATCAAGTGACTGTGACCTACTGACACTGCACTTGCTGGGGGAGAAGGGGGGGTAAGCGTAGGGGCTAAACGCAGGTGCTGGCAGGTGCCGGGGCTGATCTTGCTAACGCTGCTTTTTTGGGGACACTACTAATGTGATAAAAAAACAATATTGGTGAAGCTCTGCACATTAAAAAACTAAATAAGTATTTACAATGATATAAAAATACATATAAAGTGACCACACTGTATTGAAAGGTATTGATAACTAGTGCTAAATAATCCCCCCCAAAAAATATATAAGTGCCAAGTGTTGAAAGTGCAAAACAGGTCATCCGTCTGCTGACTAGATCGCGCCAAAATACAATATATGCACAATAAACATAATACACCATAACATTGCACACTCTAACTGAAAGTAGAAAGTGCTCAGTATGAGGATGATGAAATATTGAGTGAAAGTGAAATCCACAATAAAGTGCAAAACAGGTCATGCGTCTGCTGACTAGATCGTGCCAAAATCTAATACATGCACAGTATACATAATACACCATAATATTGCACACTAACTGAAAGTGACAGGAGCTCAGTATGAGGATGAATATTCATTGAAAGTAAAATCCACAATAAAGTGCAATAACAAAGTTCTTGACATTTCATGTGCAAACAAACACCGCAATGTCAGTGTTTCAATTCTTCACTCCAAACATGATGCGTGTTAGCATGCCACACCTGTATATCGTAATCCAAAAGTGGCTAAAGTGCCTCCTCACCTTAACCATGCGACCCCTAAGGGCCACAATGCTTTAGGTATTATAACTCCACCAGACTGAGGATCTCTGTAATAATACTCCTGTAGTAGCACTCCATCTCCTCTGCCAGGTCACTTATGCCCTGAGATGGTGACACCCCCGGGATAATCACAAGGCCATAGAGAGGCAGACAAAGAGCCTCCATAGTGAGATGCC